ACATAAGAACTTTTCAACTTGAGAACCACCTTCCAATACGGATTAAGTTCTTAAGTAGAGACCCCACTGTATAGGGAAGCATGCACATGTTGTCTGACTCAGCTTTTCATTGGTAGCTAAGCAGTTCAAAAATAGTTTATTTACTGTTTTGTTCCAGAGTTCCCAAATATTCTACCTCAGCAGCTTTCCCAAGGGAGCTAGAAATTACTGATATCTACCTAATACTGTGTTGTAGTCGGCTGGGGCTGTTAGTCATCAGAGGCCCAGAGGCTTCATGTCCTGGACCTTAGTTCTTCATCTATGTTTATGCCATATTGGCTGAAATCCTGTTCCACAAAAGGCATAACTTTTGGAGGAATATTGTCCTAAGTTAGAAAATCACTGTAGTCACCATCAGTGGCATACTGAGTCATGTGACTCAGTGTTGCAACTGGTAATGTATTTCATAACTTGGGGCAATTTGTCTGGAAAATTACTCCATTTGTCCAGCTACACAAGCATAGTTTGGTTACATAGAATTATGAAAATTATGAAAATCAGGAAGCTCATATAGTCCATCTCTTCCATAGTTATTGTCTATTTTCTTTTGTACAACTTTCTTGCATGATTTTGGTTGGTTTTAAAAGCTTGAAAGCATGAGATAAAACATCTTTCATTTTCACTAGTTAGCTAGGACAGAAACTAATATGTTAGAGACCACTGTATTACATATTAAGGTAGCATAATATTGTGTACCATAGCACACTCCAGATTTAGAGTATCACTGTGGCAATAATCATCCTCATGTGTAAGCAGATAAGCAAGTTCATATAGAACATGCAAAACTGACATACTTTACAAATGCAGAACAGCCAGGGTTCATATTTTATACAAATACCGTATAGTATACGGACAGTACAACAAATAAGTATCTAAACATGACAATAGTCAATTTAGAATTACTTTTTTGCTTTTGCATATAACACAGTAGATTCATTTTTATTAACACAGATTTGTAGAGAACCATTCACGCTTTTTAAATAAAGTAAAATGACCGCTTCTCTTGAAATGTATTGTTCAAAAAAGTGACAAATACCATATATATAACTATGGTATATATATAGTTATACAACACTGTATATATGTTTGCGTGTGTTTGCTATGAAAGACCAGAATGTTGTATTTACATAGCATAGCATTCTGGCCAATCAGAATGTGTCTGGAGTCAGTCATGCAACTATATAAGGCAGGTATCAGAAATCTGTCAGATGATATGTGACTCATATGGTGATGGGGTCCAGCATATGACAGGGACAAACATGTGTCAGACAAGGACAGAGTCCAATACAGTATGTGACAGGGACTGAAATATGTAATAGGAGTCAGATAGGGCTGAAAGGGGTTGACAAGGTTAAAGATGTAACTAACAGGATTTTATCAGGCCATATAGGGCTTACAAATGTAATAGTATTACAGTGTGAGAGTTTGTCCATCTAACCAGCCTATTGAGATCAGGGGAAAGTGAAACCAACATGGAGGATATATCAGGGCTCTCCTACCAAATCTCAGACTGAAGAAGCTACAGTACTTGGAGGGGTAGCAAAATGCTTCAGCCTAACGAGAAAGAAGTCCAGTTGCCATGACTCAACTTCCAGATAACCAGCAATGCACCTCCAATTACTAGATGCTGAAGGCAATGTGAAGGTGTGGGCTCCCTTCCTTTGCTCTTTTTGTGAACTTCCCAGGTTTCTGGGTAGACTGGGTTCATAATGCTGGGCTTGATGAACGTTTGGTTTCACATTGCAATGGCAGCCTTGTGTTCATAATGATCTGAGATGTGTCAACAAGTTAATGCTGGCAATGCATAGTTCTCAGTATTTACATTGTTTTGTGTGGAGGATCATTAAAATGTGAGAGCTTAAGTTTACAACTTCAATAAAAACTGGCCCTAAAAAGGGCAAGTTAAGGCAGATAATTAGGTTTGCTTAGTACCATGATGCTGAAATTTTGTTCATCTTAAATTCACTGTGTAATATTTGTATTAGATGATACTATTATAAAATCAGAAGAATCATGAAACACTAAGTGACATGTTAAAACAGTTACCTACTCTAAATTAGTTAATTAAAAGTAAAACACTTCTGGTGTAATTCCATTTATGAAAAGCAATACAGTACCTCAGAAAATGATAGACAACTATGTTTGGTTTTAATTGATAACTATTTTATTTGGTTTATTAGATAGAGTGTTTGACTAGGATTCAGTAGATGTGGATTTAAATCCCCATTCGGCTATGGAAACTCACTGGGGGAAGGTGAGGTGCCATGTTCTCTAGACTCACAAAGTGAGTATGGCTTAATAAGAAGCTGACGGCATACACTAAAATCCAGGTGTATAGAGCCTGTGTCGTGAGCACACTCCTGTACTGAAGCAAGTCCTGGACCCTTTGTGCACGGCAGGAGAGGAAGCTGAACATGTTCCATATGTGTTGTCTCCAATGCATATTTGGTATCACCTGGCAGGACAAAGTTCCAAATAGAGTAGTCCTAGAACGAGCTGGAATTTTTAGCATGTATACATTACTGAAACAGCGCCATCTATGTTGGCTTGGGCATGGTATGAGAATGGCTGATGGTGGGATTCCAAAAGATCTCCTGAATGGAGAATTAGTGCAGGGAAATCGCCCCAGAGGGAGACCACAGCTGCGATACAAGGACATCTGCAAGAGGGATCTGAAGGCCTTAGGAATGGGCCTCAACAGATGGGAAACCTTGATGTCTGATCGTTCAGCCTGGAGGCAAGCGGTGCATTATGGCCTCTCCCAATTTGAAGAGATCCTTGTCCAGCAGGCCAAGGTGAAGAGGCAGTCCCGAAATGAGCAAAACCAGGGAGCTGGACAGGGGACAGATTGGATTTGTCTTCAGTGTGGAAGAGATTGTCACTCTCGAATTGGCCTTCTCAGCCACACCAGATGCTGTTCCAAGACCTCCGTACAGAGCATGATACCATAGTCTCTCGAGACTGAAGGATGCCTACAGAATTATACAATCCAATAAATTTGAGTGCCTCTCTTTTCCATCTTCCCTTTCCATCTGTTTCAATGATTGAGTGTCAACATAGTGTGTAGACCTCAAGAATGGAGAGGAAATAGGCATAACACTGCACAGTCTGGAGGATGGTATCTGAAGCTCTGTTTCAGCCGTTCATAGATAGGGAGAAAGGTTTGTACAGCACTACATTGTTGTACAGGATGGTGCTGTATTGTAGTAAATGGCCTGATTTGACCCAATGTTGTCATCCGGCTTGAGTATATGAAGAACCTCACAGAGACCACACCCATGGAGCACAGCACATAGCACTTCTCTCATCTGATTGAACCACATCTTCAGGAAAGAATGAGGCAATCCATTGGCTGTTAGAAGGGGTTGCCTCTGCAGCTGTGGAAAAGCCATGCTAAATATTTCAAAAGGACCGGGAAGAACAATGGATTGCTTGCCCTTCTAGAGCACTGAAAATTCTGCAGTGCAAGAACTAAATGTTTACACCAGCTTTTGGGATGTAGATATTGAGCATTTACACACTCTAACCAGAACTTGAAATACTGCATATAAAAGAGTTATGAGATATTGCTAGAGTCCCAAGGCCGTTTTAACTTCTAAAAAGTATGCTTTTTTTGTTTTTCAAAAAGTAAGTGCGTACTACCTAGTTACTTTAAAAAATATTTGAATCCTGCAGGACATTAATATGTACAAAATCTACTTAATTTACCTCATTTTTTTAAAAAAACCAACCCTGATAGGGTTGTTTTTAGATGAATAAGAGAATGATGTGACAATATGCCTAGAATCACTCTGACTGCAGCAATAGAAAAAAATTACAAAGTTAAAAATGCTGTTTTCAAAATATAAACCTCTTCTGCCAAGAAAAAAACATTTCTAAAGAATTATTTGCTGAGTAAAATGTACAAAAATTAGAAAGCACCATAGTGGTACGTTGTTTTATATTTACAATCCTTATATTTGATTCAAAAGTAAACCATGGCATAGTGAAAGCCAGAGTCAACCAATTTACAAATTGACGGAAGAAACTGTGAAAAGCAGCACAGTGCTGCAATGCAGTTTAGGCATATATAATCAGAGCTTTATAATCCAGACCTGGATCTACTATGAAGTGGAAAAGTGTGGTTTACTCATGACTCAGAATGGGCATTTATGAGCATTTGAAATCCATCTCTTTGCATGTACTGTAGTAGCAGGCATAATTATGATGATGATAATTCAAACAGGTGGATTTTTCCGTTTCTAGTTCCAGATTCACAGGGGAAAAAATGAATGAAATAACGAATCTCGAATCTACAAAAGTAACTGAAAAGTTACCATTGCATCACACAATTAGATACAAAGGAGTAACTAAAAAATTGATTTATGGATATGCTTAAATTGGCCTTTGTCTTCAAACTGGCACATGAAGTTTAAAACAAGTAGAAATCAAAGTACAGTAGGTTCCGATATTGACCAGAATGCTTCCCAGAACCAAGGAAGCAGAGGAGACAGCAGGTGGGCAGCCCCATAGATAGGCTCCCTTTGCTGCACAAACAAGATTCTTGGCATTACGTGTTCCTTTTTTATCAGAGATGTAAAGAGCAAATATCCGTTGAGCTTTTAAGCAACACAAAATAAACTGCTCCGAGAATCTAGGAATATAGCATACAAAGAAACAGTGGAACACCTTCTGGGATGTGTAGTAGTTTGGCAGAAGTCTTCAAAGCCATCATCATTGTCATCATCTTTCCAGGGTTTTTTAGGTAGTGGGTACTGTTTTGTTTGTTTTTCATTAAATATACTACATACACATGCGGCGCTTTAATATAGACTCACATGCATGCACACTCCAAAGTTATTAGTCCTACTTCTTTTCCCCATTACATTCTTCAGGATAGTAACTGTTCTGATCCAAAATTAATTATGCACAATTTTTGTTAATACTTTTAATATAAAAATGAATTATTATTTTATTTCCAGATGGGCAAAAGAGGAAGAAATCACTACGAAAGAAACTGGATTCTCTTGGACAGGAAAAAAATAAAGATAAAGGTACAATAAAACTTTGTTATCTGTATCAGCCGGGTGCATAGGATATAATAAATACAGTCATGGTCCGCTTAATGATTACCCCGCATTACGATGAATCCGCTTCACAACGATGTTTTTGCAATCGCAAAATGATGTTTTAAATGTTTTTTTTCGCTTTGCGAAGATCGGTTCCCTGCTTCGGGAACCGAATCTTCGCATTACGACAATCAAAACAGCTGATTGTCAGGTTTTCAAAATAGCCACCGGGTGCTCAAAATGACTCCCCGCTGTGCTTAGGGACAGATTCCTCGCTATACAGGCACCGAAAATGGCTGCCGTATGGAGGATCTTCGCTGGACTGTGAGTTTTTAGCCCATTGGAACGCATTAACCAGGTTTTAATGCATTTCAATGGGTTTTTTATTTTCGCTTTATGATGTTTTCGCTCTACAGCGATTTCGCTGGAACGAATTAACGTCGTTAAGCGAGGCACCACTGTACAGCCATAGTTGCAATACATATTATATTATGCAGTCTGTTACTGTTGGTAGATTTGTTTATTTGCTTAAATAGATTTTGGCAGTGGCCAGGAGTGCATTTGCACAATTAAAAGTAGTGTGACAGCTATGCATGTTCCCAGTAAAGTCTGAACTGGCCATGGTGACATATTTATTTATTTATTTATTTATTTATTTATTTATTTATTTATTTATTTATTTATTTATTTATTTGATTTTTACCCCAACCCTCTAGACAACGTCTACTCGGGGCAGCTTACATCAGTTAAAACAAGTTAAAAAACATATAAAATGCATTTATACTAATTAGTTCTAATGACTTAGTTACACCCCAACTGGATTACTGTAACATGCTCTTTTTTCGCTTTGCGAAGATCGGTTCCCTGCTTCGGAAAGTGTCAAGAAAACGTCAGCAGGTCCAAATTACAGCAGCCAGATTGCTGACTAGTGTTGGTGACAGGGATCACATAACCTCCCTGTTAGAGCACCTCCACTGGCTGCTGATCTGTTTCAGGGCACAATTGAAATATTATAATATTGGCTATTTTTAATGTGTTTTAATGTTTCTAAAGTTTTAATATTGTTGTACGTTGCTCAGACACCATTGCTAATGGTGTGGCTAAAAAAAAATCTCATAAATAAATAAATAAATAAAGTCCTAGTTCTAACCTATAAAGCTCTAAATGGCTCGTGGCCAAGCTATCTCACATACAGTTTCTCCCATTATGAGCCTGCTTGGTGTTAAGATAATCGGGTGAGGTCTTGTTTTAGGTCTGTGTTTGGTGAGGACATAGGAGAAGGCCTTCTCTGTTATTGCTCTCAGACTTTGGAACTCCCCTCCACAGGAAAGGTTGGCCTCATCTTTGCTGTCCTTCAGCAAACAAGCAAAGAGGTTTCTCATCAGGCAAGCTTTCCCTCAGTGACATATATATATGTTGACTCTCCAGTGTCGGTCAACATATATATATGTCAATGTGTGTGTGTGTGTGTGTGTGAGAGAGAGAGAGAGAGAGAGAGAGAGAGAGAGAGAGAGAGAGAGAGAGAGAGAGAGAGAGAGAGAGAGAGAGAGAGAGAGAGAGAGAGAAAACGCAAAGGGGGGGGAATTAAAAAGGCAAAAACCTTGTGGCACCTTGAAGACCGACTCTTACATTTTAATGGTTTAGCTTTTGTGGATAAGTCCACTTCTTCAGACATGAGGTAAAATACATAGTAAAAAATTCATGTCTGGCTTATAGTGGTGTATGGTTGGCTTATAGTGGTGTATGGTTGCATTTCACACATGCAGTAATTTATGACCTAAGTTTGGTGTTCAGCTCTTTTGAAGTGTGGTTTTGTAAACATTCTCACAGTATATATCTTATACTAAAAGCCACCTTTAAATTGAGTGCCTGTGACATACGAATATCTCTCTGGACATTGTGCATTCTTTGGATTTTGTTCTCCTGAGAACTTTTAAAATTCACCATTTGCCTTAACATCTCCTGGATGCTACCTTTTTTTAATTTAGTAACCCATCCTAAAGAAAACATGCACAGGGTGAAACTGGCAGAGTATGCTTTGTATGTATGCTGAATGTGAAGGGAATGGCAAAACTGATTGCTTTCCATTTTTCTTTGTGAGGTTTTCCTTTGTGAACTATACATTATGCCCAGCCACTTAAATAAACCTCTCAGTATTGTTCCTCTCTGTGAGGACAGGAGTATGCTGCAGTGACTTGATTCACGGTCAGCCCACGCTGTCCCTAAACAACATTCATAGCCAACCCTCAACCCCCTACCCTTCCCCTTTATGCTTGACAGTGAGTTGAAAAATGTTCTCTTCACTGCTAGCACAATTGTGTTTTTAACAAGCATTTCAGAAGTTTATTTTATAAAGCGAATGCCTTCCATTGCCAGGCAACTTGTCCAAAACAAACACTCTGCTCTCTACGGCACAGCACATGTAGGCGTCCTTGCACAGATGTGCCTTGAGTGTTCTCATTCACAGTGGCTTTCTCTTAATTCTGCCTGCCTGCAAGCACTGGTTTGCAGCTGTCTTGCTTTATGCACTAAGCCCCTGATTTACTTCTTGGGGACTGGTGAAGATGCCATTACAAACAGAAGAGAGGAGGAAGACGAGATTGCAGGTTCTAGATGTGTTTCATAAGCCCTTACCATGACATGATTTTATGGAGATGAATAACCAGAAGCTCTTAAACCATTTTTCTTTTTTAGGCAAAGGTGTTGGTATGTCTTTCATTTGTTTTTCTTTTTTACAGGATTAGCAATTAAGACTATAGTGATTGGTTATCTTTCCATAGACTAGGAATCCCAAAGTATTTGAACATACTTCGATAGCTGCTCACTGGCTACAGTTATGCATAGTGTTTCTCTTAGAATTAAGATATCACCCGCTTCGCATACCAGAGCGAATTAATAATTCTGTGCCATCAACTGATTCCAACTTAAGGTGATCCTTCCTAGGGTTTTCTGAGTTAGATAATACACAGAAGTGGTCTACAATTGTCTTCTTCTGGGGGTACCCTGAGACTGTGCAGCTGTGCAGCCAGATACCTAAACCACTGAGCTATACAGCCAGCTCAGAGATAATTTGACCACATTACTATTTATACTCACTTTCATACCAGGTTCCATTAAAAGTGAGTCAAAAGCTTGCCCTACTTCCCTAGGAATTGTTTGATACATTTAGACAATGTGAAGAAATGAGAAGTTAAAGTGAGATCTATCCTAACACCACCTAACAGAGCAGATATTTACTTTTTATTTTTATGGAAGCAAATCGCATCCTTCATGTCCTAACTGCATGGCTGTTTGTTCCTTTGCTGTAAAATGAATGTTGTATAATAATGTGCAGTATCTGAATATGCAGAAAGGTATGTAATTCCTTTTTCCTTCTGGACACCTTGCCAGTGTCAGCAGGAGACATACTTTAGAAAATGTAGGAAGGCATGCTGTCAAGATATGCTTAAGGAATATGTGAATAGACATATCATGAAAATCTCCTATCCCCACCAAATTACATAGGAATTTCACAGAGGCAGTTAGCTTCAGCACAGCTTTAAAAGGAGCCTTCAGAGACTTTGTGGCAGGACTAGCCAACAAATAGATGCTATCTGTCTTGTCAAGAGCTATTTGGCTTTCAAATGCTACAGAACAAAGGCCTAAATGTAAACTGTGCCCTATATAACATGCACTGGGGGAAAAATTAATTGAAGATGATTTGTCTAAAGTTTTGTAGTCTCTGGAATAATAGATCAGGCTGTTTAGGTTAGCATTTTATCTACAGAGGAGCTGCCTGTCTGGGTGTTTTCCAGTGTCAAGAGGTTGGGAAAATGAAGGATCATGGTTTCTGTTGCTCTTCTAGAAAATGAGGTTTTGTGGTTTATGCCTAGGATGAGCAGACTGGGAGAAGTGGGAGGAATTGCTCACTGATAATTGGAAGGATGCAACACCTGTGCCTTCTCTCTGTGAGAAAGAGAACTTCAAGGCTGGACTGAGCTCACTTCTTGGTGTGGAGTAAATTAGCAGAAGGATTTCACTAGAGTGGAGAGAGAGAGAGAGAGAAGTTACTGTCTTCTTCATGAAAGTTCAGGGAAACCTGACATCTGATTTGCAGATTCTTTTAGAAGAGCCCGGAAACTAGAATTTTGGGTATAAAAATGGGGACAGGAATTACTTAGCTTAATGTAGTTACCTCTTAGGATAACACTATGCTCATCTGCTGCTTTGTTACTCAACTTGTATTACATATATGCCGTGGAACTAGGCTGAATCTGTGTCAGGATGTATAAGTATTAGAATAGGTTAGTGAGGCTTCTTATTTTCTTGTGGGAATGTTCTGAAATTGTTCTTGCTTCAAAACTTTCTGATTACTTATTTGGCTCCACCCACTTTTTGACTATTCTGTATCTGTTGAACCTGTTTTGAAAGTTTGATGCTTTTGATCTTTTATCATTTTAAATAAAATATAAATTTTACAGCTTCTAGGTTCTTTTGGATCAAATGGGTTGCTGGTACTAAAACCAGACTTGCCTCGACCATCTACCAGGACCCAGTGTGTTTTGTGGGTAATTTTGGTTTTCCTACATTGTAAGGTTGGTGTAAGAGCCAAAGTGCTTTACTTTGTGGCAACTCCCTGGAAGCACTGCTTTGTCAGAATAGACCAAGATGTTGGGAAGATACCATGCAGGAGGATTTTCCCCAGCCGTCAATACTTATGACCTTCCTGGATTTTAGCCACACCAGGAAAGCCTGGGTAGTGTCACTGAGTGGTTAGTGTGGGCCTTTCTGACCTGGGGTAACCATGATACCAAGGGTATCCTTGATATAACAGCCTGAGTAAGACATGAGGAGGACAGAAACATGCAGACTTCAATATATGCTTGGAAGAACCATGGTAGAGTAATGGTTGCCAGATGGTCTAGACATATTTAATAAGGGCAGAAAAGCCCGGCCATGGAAAGTATCAGCAGAATAAGTTGAGATCATCTCTTGCTCACCAAAGTGAACCATTCTTCAGTACATTTCCTCACTGCTGTGGCCATGGTTTAGGCCAGTGGTTCTCAAACTTGGGTCCCCATATGTTCTTGGACTGCAGACACCTTCACCATTTGCTGTGCTGGCCAGGATTTCTGGGTGTTGCAGTCAAATAATATCTAGGGAACCAAGTTTGTGAACCACTGGTTTAGGCCACTTTTGCTGAATATATTGTTAGTGGTCACTAGTACTTCAGAACTGAAGGCAGATGCATAGTGTGTCTCTTCCCAAGTGATAGGCACCTTTGGTGGTTGTGGGTTTTTTGGGCTCTTTGGCTGTGTTCTGAAGGTTGTTCTTCCTCATGTTTTACCAGTATCTGTGGCTGGCATCTTCAGAGGACAGGTGTCAGAACTCTATTTCTCCTCTGAAGATGCCACAGACTGGTGAAATGTTAGGAAGATCAATCTTCAGAACACGGCCAAAGAGCCCAAAAAACCCACAACAACCATCAGATCCCGGCCGTAAAGCCTTCAAGAATACATTGATAGACACCTTTGCTTCCTTTTGCTAGTGAAATAAGCTTGGCAGCTAAATAAATGTAAGCATATTTAAAGGTCACTGCAAACACTATGAGAACATTGCTGTTTAAAAATGTTTCTGCTAACCTTGCTTTTCACATTTTTGACAGAAAGCACTGTTGAATTGATGGAGGAGAGTTCTAAAATCTAAATAACATTTTCACTCCTAGTTACGCAAGACTCAGTTCAAGAGAACTAACAAATCTTACTAAATGTGGAAAAAACCTAAAAATTCAAGCCAGCTACTTCAAGTGGGATTGGAATCTGCTGTCTTTCTGCTGTCTCATACTTACATACAAAATCTAGTCCTTTTCCTTTTGTAAAAGAGTAGAGAATTAAGTGTTTGGAGAGGAAATCGCCCCTATGTTTTTATGAACAAATGGTTCTCAGGATATCTAGAGAGTTGACAGATAAGGTCCAGTTTCTCTTCAGTTAAGTTGTAATTGCTTCACAGTCTCAGGGGAACACTACCTAATGTCTCTTGGATGAATAGATAGATTCGTATTTTTACCATTCTTTCTTTGAATGTGCTCTAATCAGAGACAGTAATTGCTCTTAGGAAGGATTGTTCCAAACATATTTTATCCATGATGTAGTGGTAAGCAACACCCATGCCTCCTGAAAAAAAAATGATACAGTGAAACATTATTTGTGAACATTACTTGGTAGATAATAAAATAATGGAGAAGTGTGTATAGTATGACGAATTATAATTGAAGGCAGAAGTAGCATTATAGTTTGTTTGTTTGTTTGTTTTACTTTGAAAGCACAATATGTGTATATCCCTTGACTGTTATTTCAGAAAATAAGAACAATCCGCCTTGCGTACGTGATTCATATGACTCCTAGTGCAGCTGCTGTTTTATTGTACCTGCTAGAGTCCTAGAGTGCCTTACTGCATTCCATTGCAGCTTGTTTCCAGGAAAAGATGCATGGCTATGAATAAATACTTGATTTTTTCATTTATTATAACCAGAAAAAAGATATGTTCTTCTTCCATGTTTACTGTCTACCCATTCTCTGTTAATATAAAGTATTTCTTAACATTTATGTTCAGCTTGTCCCAACGATAATTTCCACTGTGCGCATGGAATAATCCAAAAGAGAAGAGAGTCTCATGTTGAATATAAAATAGCATGCTCTATTTCTCAGAAATGATATTGTTTCAAGCATTTTTGTTCCATATATGGATGCTTTTAAAATTGTGTGTATCTTTTATTTTCAGTAAGACAGTGACCCCATTTATAATAGCATCATGACTGTGTTACTCTACTATTAACCAAAAGAAATCTAAACCATAATCTAAAAATAACACTCAGAATTGCATTAAGCAGAAAACTTGTTTTGCTTATTTTAAAGCAAGGTATTAAAAGGTGGTGGACTATGGAGAAGGGGGAAAATGTGCCCAGGCTGCTTGCTGTGAACTCTGGATTGAAATTCTTATCTTATTAACAGTTATTGCAATTCTGCTGTTGGCTTTAGCCCATGATTTTCCCCACACATAATGCCAGAAATGTAAAATACTAACACCTGCCTTTTATAAACCATTTTCTAAATTAATCAAAGAAATTGGTAGACTTTACAGCTGAATCTTTGAGAACTCTGTTTTCTTCCATATCTGCCTTCCTTTTATTTCTCCTTTCCCCACTTTTTTTCCTTCACCTTCTCCATCCTAGTTTTCTCCAATTGTGTTGGGTAACTTAGTTTCATCCCTAATCAGTGGCTAGGATGGTGGGAATTGTACTTCAACACAATTGGAGGGCAGTCAGGTTGGAGAAAAGTTATGCTCTGTCAGCACTTTCCCAAGCACCTACTTCTGAGCATGTTGGGAGACTGACCAAGCGAATTTTAAATGAGGCTGCATCTTTAGTGGCCTGTGATTTATTGAATCCACTTCAGCAATGTATCTGTTCTGTTCCAAGGCTTTCAAAAAGTAAAATGTGCTGTCAAATATGTGTTGCATTTTAACACTTGAAATATAAAAGTTTTTTTTTATTTGCTTTTCCAGAATTTGTGCCCCAGGCTTTTGGGATGCCTTTATCGCAAGTAATAGCTAATGACCGGGCCTATAAACTGAAGCAGGATACTCAGAGAGAAGAGCAGAGAGATGTTTCAGAATTCGTGGCCTCCCTTTTACCATTCGGGAGTAAAAGGCAGAACAAAGAACTCTCAAGCAGTAACTCATCTCTTAGCTCCACCTCAGAAACACCGAACGAATCTACTTCACCAAACACACCAGAGCCAGCTCCACGAGCAAGGAGGAGAGTAAGATGGCTATTCCTTACTTTGTGTGTCATGCAGGCATGGTGGGACTTTCCCAGGCCCTTCCTTGCACACCGCAGTTAGAGTCTCTTAGTCCACAATTCAATTAAAGTCAGCCCTGATTTGAAATGATAGAAGTTGTCATTCTCCCTCCCAGCTGTTCGTGGGAGAGAATGAAATGGACGCATGTCTCTTGCCAGCACCTCAGGGGACACAACGATTCTTTGGGAACTTTTGTTTTCCCCAGTCAGATTCTGGTTGGCCTTTCAAATTATTAAGGAATAAACTCACTTCTATCTCTTTTTTTAATGCACTCTTTTTTTCTGTCTCAAAAGATGTTTACAATATGCACTTAAGAGACTAATTTTTGCTAATTTATTAATTCTATCTTGTCAGCATAATTTTAAAACCTTGTGTAATTCATTTCTGAGAAAAAATTAGGTACTGTATTAAAAAATATAACCATTATATTAGTAAAATCAACCAGAATGTCAGTGAGCAGTCTTTTGAGTTGTCCAGAAATCTGGCTCAATGTTTAAGCCATAGAATTCACATCATCCAGGCTTGCTTCATTTCCCCCCTCCATTACTCCCACTTTTTCTTAACTTCCCAGCTTGATACAGTGTTCTGGAAAAGCCTGCTGTTTTATGACATTTTGGTTGATCTTCATGAAGATATGTTTGAACATTACATTTAATGAAGGTTTATGTAAATGTTAATCATGGTGTGTTCTTAATTGAGGTTCTAGATGCTCTGAGTCTGTCCCCCAGATATTCAAGGAAACTTTGACATGTCCTACTCATTTATGTTCTTTCCTGTCCTTCCTCTTCTGGCATTTTCTTCCCAGTATCCCAGATGGCTCTCCAACAAGTCAGTATTTGTGTTGTTTCACACAAGCTTGCCAGTCATTGGGCTGTTTCACAAACAGGGTGTGAATGTCTATTTGACTTATAGCATAAGAAAAGCAATCACATTCCCACCCACCAAAGACAGAACATAAGGAGCACCTTTCTGCTCATCCATTGTCCTGCTATTTCTTTTTACCCAGAACTGCAAATAATCTGTGAAGGAATGCTACTTCATCACCTTATTTTATGCTGCTTCATGCCCCAAACCCCAGAATGTATCCAGAACTTTTTTAAAATGTCATTTTTGCTTAAATAGTGCAATATATATCACATATACTAATTAAAGATGGACTGGATAGTTCGGTTTCTGGCTGTGGAGCAAGAGATTGGGGAGTTCAGTTCCCCACTGTGCATCTCTGAAGAGCCAACCTGTGTGGCCTTGGACAAGATTCATAGTCCCAGGATGCTCCCAGTATAAGGGAATGGTAAACCACTTTGGTGTACTGTACTCTCTACCTAGAAAACTCTGCCAAGGAATGTGAAGATGTGGGCAGATGAAGTGGAAAACGTCATGGGCTTACAGTGGACCCTCTACTTAAGGAATTAATCCTTATTGGAATGCTGGCTGCAAGTCGAAAAGTCTGTAGGTCGACTCTCCATTGACCTACAATGCATTGAAAACCGATTAATCCCATAACCAGCGGTTTTTATTCTATTTTTGTTCCATTTTGGGTTTTTTCTGGTCTGTAAGTCGATTCTCCGGCTGCAAGTCGAATCTAAATTTTGCAGCCAGAGAAGTCTGTAACTCGAAAAGTCTGTAAGTCGAACCGTCTGTAAGTCGAGGGTTCACTGTACTTCAGTCAGACGTATGCTGGGGTAGTTACAATAGCCAGTAGTCACACAGTGTGTTTAGTAACAATTCACTATAAATGGGAATTTATTCAGCTGAGAGTTTCTGTAGTGGGATAGTGCCCAGTGTCCTGCAATATCCTAGACACACTTGTTTGGTTGCTGGGCACGTTTCAACAAAATGGCCACTTTCCAGGAAGAGCACCAATGAGAGCAGGTCTTATTTGTTCCATTTTCAGGCTATTCTTATTTCAACAAAATGGCCACTTTCCAGGTAAAGCACCAATGAGAGCAGGTCTTCTTATTTGTTCCATTTTCAGGCTATTCTTGCCCACCAACTCTGTTGAGAAACAAACCACAGTTCTGGGTTCAGACATCATTATAAGCTATGGTTTTGTGAAATACGTGGCCACCACCCTGGTGCTGACTACCAGGTTGATGGGCTACCAGATCTAGAACATGCCCAGCACCTTATGGATGGGCTGTATCCAGGTGACAGTAATCAGATGGCCTGGTTCAATAATGACCTATAAATCACTCTTTAGCAGTATTGTCTTAATGATCTTACATTGTGATTGTCCTACAGAGTTGCTGAGAGGGCTTGAGGGGTGGGGCTTGTATCTAAGAAAGTACCTGACATACTAACTAAGCTGAGTTTATTCTGGAAAAACCTGAAGTAAACTTGTTGTTCTGGCTCTTTTAGTTGAGAAGTAACAATTGGATTTGGGGAATGACTCACAAAATGGTTTTTAAAAGCCACACTCCACAAAACAACCAGCAAATTCACACATAACAACCTTTTAACAAATTACTTGCCATATTTTCACTTTTGAAGTTGAAGGTCTGATTGACAGCTCTATACTATATGCAGAAAAACTGGGAGAAAGGGTTCTTCCTATATAGAGATGTCGGAGAGAAAATTTGTGCTGCCTATTAAGGATAGATCTTGAAAAATGAAAAACTAGATTCCAGTTGTTGACCATTTCTTCCCCCTAAATAAATTTTTAGGGTGTTATCTGAAGAGATTTTTAAATGTGACTTTTAGACCACAACTCCTAGAAGCTGTGGTGGAAGGGGGATTCTGACACTTGTCATCCAAACAGTGCCCTTCTTCAAACTCTGATTATCTGACTTTCTTTACTCTGAAAATGGAGTTTCGTTCACTAATGGTTTGGTGTTCAGAATTTTTAGGCATCAATAATTTGACATTGGGATTTTCACAGCACCTTTGGAAGTAGGCATGAGATTATAAAAGCATGACTGCTTGATTTAACTTAGAATTTTCTAGTTTAGACTTCGCTCTGTCATAACAAGATTCCTTTTAGCAGGAAGTGTAGAAAGGGAACATTAAGCACTTGAGTTTGCTGCTGGGTCTGAATAGCTCATAATTTTCCCCCACTTTTTTTGTACTGACAAGATTATGTCTATGGGATGTAATAACCATTAGAACACTTTTGAGCCTTTAGAGTTGGTATACCTAAAGAATCATGTTGTCCTTAATAGCAGTAAATGAGTTTCTTTTTTAAAATAAGTCCCTTTAAAGTTAGTTGGTGATATGTTACACGAATACAAAAAAAAGATGTTTCGCTTTGTCTATCAATTTTTGCACAGCTCTAGATTGCTAAGCTCAAAAAATGAGACTAATAGTCAAATGATCAAGTAATAATTAATTTAACTAGCTGGATGTCTAAAGAATACTGTAGACTTTACATTAAAACAGTTTTGCTGGTGTAGAAATATAGGTTTCAAAAATGAGAATATTAGTCAAATGATCAAGTAATAATTAATTTTACTAGCTGGATATCTAAAGAATACTGTAGACAGTTTTGCTGGTGTAGAAATATAGGTTTGTCTTCTACAAAAACTAACTCAGTAGTTTCTCTAGCAAAATACATATAAAACCTGAACCAGTTTGTTCCACATTTCTGTCATTTACCTGCTGTTTGCCAGCAATTTGTTATTTCAGCTTAACACTTAATATCGGAAGATTTTGCAGTGGGCAATGTCCAAAATATACATTAAACATTAAATGTTGTAAGGATGTATGTCTCACAACCTCTTACTTTCAGAGAGAAACTAAGGGGTAAAATCAGTATCTCCCTGTAGGCTGCGATTAAACTGGCAAGCCAAATTGGAGTGATTTGGCTTTCCTGCAGCTTGATTTGCCACCTCTTTTACACTTCTGTTCAGATTAGGTGATCAAACTGAGACTGTAGATTGTTTTGGTGCCAGTGTCCATACTGGCCCCTCAGTCTGATGTGGTTTGATCTGCACCACAGCCCCCCCTTCCTTTGATCCTGCCATCTGCTGATCTCTGGCTCTCCTTTTATGGTTCATTTTAAAGCCCATGCTTTAAGTATTACATAGTTTTCCGAAATTCTCCATAATGTACAAAAACATACAGACATATCATGGAAACACAGTAGTCTGCTGCCGTTCATTTTTGTTTGTTGTTTTAATTTCATATTTGTTTGTACTTTTTGCCATCCATGCAGAGGTGATCTAGTGCTAAACTACCATGTCTCCCCAAAAGTAAGACCTAACCTGAAAATATTAAACTACCATGTCTCCCCAAAAATAAGACCTAACCTGAAAATAAGCCCTAGTATGATTTTTCAGGATGCTTGTAATATAAGCCCTACCCCAAAAGTAAGCCCCAGTTAAGAGAAACCCCACCTTCCACCATTGTGCAGCAACCAGAAGAAGATGGTATGACTGTAAATGTAGATTGTTGTACACACACACACACACAAGAAAATAACCCATCCCCTGAAAATAAGAACTAATGTGTTTTTTGGAGCAAAAATTATTTTCGGGGAAACATGGTAGTATATCAGTAGTGATAAGGTGATCTAGTACCAAACTCTGCATTTGCTTCAAAAAAAAAACTTTCAGGGCAAATAGAGAGAAATACTGTATATCGGAAGTGTGTGTACACCTAGCTTATGCATTTGCTTTAAAAAAACTTCAGGGCGAATAGAGAGAAATATATCGGAAGTGTGTGTACACCTAGCTTAGTACATCATCAGAGTATCATCCACAGTCACATCCCCCATACTTTTGGACATCTGAACAACTGATCACATGGGGGGGAAAGTCCATTCAAAGTGTTCTGGCTTGAAAAAAAAGTAGAAACTCTCAGCAGCAGAGAAAACAAACTGTGTTGGGAACAAAAAGGGCTGGATTGATTCAAATGAGTTTTTATATTGTGATCAGTTTTTTAAAAATGCAAAATCATCTGTTTTACATCAGCAAATCCTGTAGTGTTTGACCATGTTGTTGCGACCATGGTGAGATTTCTCTGTGCAGGATTTTTTTTCTTCTTCAAGAAAACCCATGGGAGACCTACCAGAATTTTTAGGACTTTTCACAGACACTTTTTCAGGAAGAAATGCCAAACTTCATAGGATTGTTACAATTCCTGTGCAAAATGGCAGCTTTACTGCACAATTCCTGCACAGCATGGCATCTTTTTTGTGCAGTGTTTAACTGGAAAGGGGCAATTCCTGCACAACATGGCATCTTTTTTTGTGCAGTGTTTAACTGGAAAGGGGAGAAGAAATGATAGACATCTTTATTGTGAAGGATTTAATTGGAAACATCAAGCTACACAGGATTTGTTACAATTTCGGACACCATTCCTGTGCAAGATTAAGCTGCACAATATTTTTCAGTTTTCTGTGTAGAAAAGTAGTTGAAAAGCAGGGGGCACAACATGGCATCTTTTTTTGTGCAGTGTTTAACTGGAAAGGGGAGAAGAAATGATAGACATCTTTATTGTGAAGGATTTAATTGGAAACATCAAGCTACACAGGATTTGTTACAATTTCGGACACCATTCCTGTGCAAGATTAAGCTGCACAATATTTTTCAGTTTTCTGTGTAGAAAAGTAGTTGAAAAGCAGGGGGAAGAGGGTGGGAACAACACCAGGAGGATTGCTTTCCTCAAGAAGAGTCAGATAGAAATCTTGTGACTGCTTACAGGTTCACTGCTTTCTGGAAGTGCACTGGTGTCTCATTTTTCAGGAAACAGGAAATCTCATCACAGCTCTAAAATGTAGTAGTGTTTACTACTGACTACATTAACCGATGCAGTCAGTGCAGTGTTGATGTCAAATCTTGAATCTGACATGAAAAATTTGAATCTCTCCCATTTATATTCTAGATCATATTTAACACTGGAGTCTTCTGGTCACAGTGATCTGCTCATGTTCCTATTTGACCAGCTATAATGTCATCTCCCAGCCCTGATATAAATGGCTGTGGAGGAGGTCATGGTCTGGGTAGAAGTATGGCCCAAGAAGAGACCTGTGGTCTGGATTTGGAAGCTTGATAAGTCACCATTTGGACCAGACCCTGAAAGGTGTCAATCTCTAAGCTTTTGAACATATGCTTTTATTTTTATGTAGCTCTGCTAATGACTCAAAACCCAAATAGAACTCGGAAAGGACATTATATTCCAGCTGTCTAGACCAATTTGTCTGTCTTTGTGTGTATGGCAGGGTGCAATGTCTGTGGACTCTATTACTGATCTTGATGACAGTCAGTCTCGACTGCTGGAGGCTCTACAACTGTCACTGCCAGCTGAAGCTCAGAGCAAAAAAGAAAAGTCCAGGGACAAGAAGCTAAGCCTCAACCCAATCTACAGGCAAGTTCCTCGACTTGTAGATAGCTGCTGCCAGCATTTAGAAAAGCATGGTAAGTGCACTTCATTTTGGCAATGATGGAGGACTTTGGGACATATATAGGTAGCTCGTATCAATTCATGCTTAGACTGTGTTCTCATTTACACCTGGCTTTTGTTCTCTGTGGTGGGTGCATACTCCTCAGCCTCAAGCTATTTTTCTATGAGGAACTTGCCTCTCCCACTGTAAACGTCCTCCAGTTCTTGAGTATAAAAAGATAAGCACTCTGTCATTTTTTACCTTCAAGTGAAAATGTTGGAGGAAGGGGTTTCACTTTTTAAAATGCTTAAAAAAGAAGATTTGGTGCCACCAACATCCTGGCCAGGTTTATCATGTTACGGTTGTGTTCTTTTTGGGCAGGCTAGTGATTGATGGAAACAACTATCCAAAGACAGGTTGTATATTTAAGAGTGTTGTGGAGCAAATGGGTGAAGTGTGATTGCTCGAAGCCTGGTTGAAAATAAGCATTCCTAAGTTCTGGCATTTGAGTTATTGACACCCATATTCTCTTCCTTTTCTTCTTCTCTGGGAGTGTACAATAGGACATGGGCTGTAAATATTATTTGGTGGAATAGTAGATTCATCTTTCCCTGAGATCTTCCTTTGTGCCCTATTTCAGAAAAAAGGGCACCTTAACTGTTTTATGACCACACAGTGAGTTGAGGCTCAGCCCTCCGATAGGCAGACAGAGTATGGCCAAAATTGATCTTAGGCTTCCCTCTAGTGTCACTCTTGAACAGCTGCCACATACTTGCCAGAAAACACTCATGAATGCCTGGAGGACAACTTCATTGAAAGAAGTAGTAAACTTTAATAGTAGTAAGTAATTAACTTTTTCTGAATTGTAGACTAATACTAGTTTTATGCTACCCATGAGCTGAAGGTTGTTCTGTTGGGATGATGGCAGGAAAAGATGGTGTTAGAGCATATGCTATAATTCTAACATATCTGTACGGGCATGAGAAAATATCACATTATAATAGTGATTTTAATAATATGCAAATACATGTTTCACTGAAACTTTAAATGGCAAGTGATTTTTTAAAAATGCTTTCAGGTCTCCAGACAGTCGGTATATTTCGAGTTGGGAGTTCAAAAAAAAGAGTAAGACAGGTGAGCGTAATTCATTGCTCATGAATGCCAGTGCTTTTGCATGTGGTGTATTGCATACTGGGAGTTGTCATGGCTATCATGGGAGGAGGGGGGACTCCATGTTTTATCATCTGATAAAAGGAATAGTAAGACAGGTGACAGCATGGCTCTTTATGAAATAATTTAAATTAGAATGAAACTAAATCTTGAAACAAAACACACCAATATGTCAGTCCAGGACATTCAAGTTAAACACTGACATTTCCTTATCCAGAAGCCTACTGGTGTTAACAAAAGGTTTGCATAACTCACAGAAGCTAATTGACAGGGCCGGGGTGTGCCTTGTTTGCATGTCTGGCCGTGCATCCAGTTGCACAAGCATGATGCAGTCTGGCACCTTGTCAGTTAGCTGTAATTAGCTGCAACATGTTACACAGACTTTGTGCCAAGACCAATAGGATTCACTTATCTTGTACTAATGCTATGTTATTTCCCATCAAGTCTGTTCCTATTTACAGCAACTTTTTCAGAGTTTTCTAGGTGTGAAGTACACGCAAATGCTTTACCTCTTCTGGTAATACTCTGGGACCATGCAGCTTACATAAGAGCACACAGATGGCAGGGCACATAACCCTCTCAGCCACACAACAAAGACACTGTGGATGATCTAATTCTTCTCTGTAATAGTGAATTAATGAACCATTTTTTCATGCTACAGTATCAACCAGTTTCCCCATTGCCTCAGTTTTTATCTCTATTTTTTTTAAAAAAATCAGATAGATGACACCATACAGTTTCCAGTAGGTGACCAAAGTGGCATTTGTCAGGAACCAGCTTTCACAATACATAAATAAAAATAAATAATATGAGGATATACTGAAAAGGCTGTGTGCCTGCTTACACCTAACAGATACTGTATTGGGCTGAGGAAGATTTGTGACTAAGTGGAAAAGCATTGCGATAACACTTCCACAGTTCATCTGTAATAAGAGTGTTTAACTGTTTGTATTTTGGGAAACAAATATACAATTCTATGATAATGTGTTAAGTTTTGACATGATCTTGTTTTTCTTGCATTTTTCTAGTTACGTGAAGAGTTTGACCGTGGTATAGATGTAATATTGGATGAAGAACACAGTATTCACGATGTAGCAGCTTTATTAAAGGAATTCCTTCGTGATATGCCTGATCCTCTCCTGACAAGGGAGCTTTACACACCTTTTATCAACATTCTCTGTAAGCAGTTTAATTACAGCCTTATTGTTTAATTAATTAATTATTTTAAAATATTTATATGCTACCTTTCTCCTAAAAGATCAAAGGTGGCTTATAGTATTAAAAGAAACAAAGTTAAAAGCCAAATAATAAATTAATATTATATTTAAAAATCATTAAACAAGTATCGTATTAACCTTATCTTAACACACACACACACACAACACACACACACACAGAGAGAGAGAGTGAGCAGTATTGGGCAGAAAGTTGATCGGCATTTGTTCATAGATATTTTGCTGATTACATGAGAATGACTAAAGGTTTCTGTAACTCAGTTGGCTTGAATAAAGGTTACTATATCTCAGAAAAAAACAAACAAAAAAATGCAGTCCTCTGCAAACTTACTTTCCTTACTCATGGGCAGCTTGTGCATCTCTGAGCCTCTGTGCTACCGGACTGTAAAAATAGGATTTTGTTCTTAAGAGTGCTGGTGCGCCTTAATGCTTCATACTCTCACCAATTTTTTTAAAAAAGTAAGAACATAGATGTCTTTTTGGATCAGATCAGAGGCCTATCTGGTCCAGTTTTCTCACACTGACCAACCAGAGATCTATGGGAGATGCAGAAACAGGGCATGAGTGCACAGAAGGACCCTCTTACCCATGTTTTTCAGTAATGGGTGTACAAAGACATGCAACCTCTGCTATGAGAGAAATATACTCTTATGACTACCAGCCACTGATAGTGTTATCTCCATGATTATCTCTATCTATCTCAATATTCCTTACTTATGAAATAATGTGTGAATGAATTATTGTCTTTGATTGTCTTATTGCAACTCTGGTGGTGAGCTTTAAAGTTTTGTGCCAGTATAGCAAATTACTGGTGAATTAGACTCCCTTACCTGTAGGTTTGCAGCACAATATGCAAGCTTGGTTTGTTTGTTTTTTATACTGTTAATAGGAATAGCTTTAAACTAAAATATGCTGGGGTTTTTTTAGTCACCCTGCTGCCCACCTCACTTGAAATGTGACCACTTGGAATCTATCTGAATCTGAAATAAACTTCTGGGATGAAAGAGGTCCCCTACTCTTTGTTTTGGGGAAGACGTCAGCTGTAAACCTTGGCTTACAATCTTGATGTGTTGTCCAGTGCCATCATTAGATCTAGCCAGAACTCTTGATTTAGACAATAGTGTGGAGTTGTTGTTGTTGTTTTGAAAAATGGAAACAATGCTTACTTTGCATTAGTCAAGTTTGCATACTAGAGTTTGTATGCATTATGCTAACCATGTTTGCATGAGAATTGGTGGCAGTGCGTTTAACAGTGCTGTATTTCCATATCAGAAAATGTAGGATTTCAATGTCTTGGAATTATGTAGCAATTTGATTCTGGAATACATCAAAATCTGATTTTGTCCAACTTGTCTGGTACTGTTACAAAAACTTGGCAATGGCAATACCATATGGAAGTCTACTGTGTTTGAGCAGTTGTGAAGATGTCATTTATATGGTTGTTGTAGGTTTTTCAGGCTGTTTGGCCGTGTCCTGCAGGTTTTTCTTCCTCACATTTCACCAGTCTCTGTGTTCTAACTCTGTTTTCTGAAGATGCCAGCCACAGAGACTCGCAAAATGTTAGGAAGAAAAACCTCCAGAACATGGCCAAACAGCCCGAAAAACCTACAACAGCCATCGGATCCCAGTCATGGAAGCCTTCAAGAATACATGTCATCTCTAGTCGAAGTTTCTCCAGAAACTACAATTACTACAAATGTTGATTCCATGTTAACTGGAAATGAACTTTTAAGATATTGAATGCTTTTTGGGAATCACATTATCCCTTTGGCTCCAGACGAGCTCAGCTGTTACATACGTAATTACAGTTGTGCTGTATTTCGTCTCCAGAAAATAGCCTGAAAAAGGTGGGTCGCAAGCAACATTCCCTCTAAGCTGCGCAGCCACATGGCTGCTCAGTGCTCCATCAGGCATGTGCATCCGCAGCCAGTGTTTCCACCCCTTTGGTTCCAGTCATGGCCCAAAATTAGACAGACCATTGGTCTCAGGCTTGCTTAGAGCCCTGCAGTTGAGAGTGCAGCAGGTCCTGGTCTGATGATGGTGGTCCAGCCACTCCCCTTTCCTGTCATGGCCACTCCCCTTTCCTCCCCTGTGGAAGCCGAGGAGGGTACTGGGACATGCTGGAAGGCTGACACAGGTAGTGGGAGGTGTGTATGTGTGTGTGTGAATCAAAATTATACTTTGTAGTTACACTTTTGGGGGCATGAGAATTATACATGGATGTTGAACTACATTGGGGGTCTGGTGCCCCTAACCCCAGTGTTGTTGAAGGGAGAAGTCTATGTACTTGGCTACATGCTTTGAATAAATAGCATGGGGCACTTTCCCTCCTTCTCTTTTAGTATTGGAACCTCATGAACAACTAAGTACCCTGCAACTTCTCATTTATCTTCTACCTCCATGCAACTGTGACACCTTACATCGACTCCTCCACTTCCTTGCCACTGTAGCTAGCCATGCAGAAGACCGGCTAGATGAAAATAGCCACGAAGTAAGTTTATTCATACTCTAGTGGGAGTGTGCAGGCTCTGTGTAAATAAAAATGGGATAGTCACACTGTGATTGGGATTGCTTCTGTTATCATTTGCCTTGTTGTGCAAAATTGTTTCAATCAAGGTCCTCATGACCATTAGGTTCATCATAAAGTCAGTTGCCGATGGTTATTCCTGCTTTTGGATAGGAAACAATATCCCTCTTCTGCTGATTGCAGTGGAGACATTTTCGATTTCAACACTGCAAGTCTCAGAAAACATCAGTGCAGCAGTCTGCTGCATGATACAGCATTTATACAGCGTAACTTGGACATTGAAAGCCGCTATAAACAGACTGTTTTCAGAACCTTTTGTGTAATAAATGTAATGGGTAAATTGCTTGATCTTTTGAAAGACCAGAGTGGTTTGTATTGCTGATCTTCAGGTAGTACTGCTTAATGGATATGTCTACATGGATGACCAAAGTTTAGACTAAAAATAAACCTTTACTGGCATATTGAGGACAAATTAGGAATGGCAGAACTTTAGGCAGTTGTAGATCCTAATTTGGGTAGGCAAAGAAACCAAACCTAAAATAAGTAATTTCCAGGTTTAAAAGCCTAATAGTATTATTGTTAATTTTTTTTTTCTCCCGCTTAGATCCCAGGCAACAAAATGACATCACTCAACCTAGCCACTATATTTGGGCCTAATCTGTTGCATAAGCAGAAGACAACAGACAAGGAATTCACTGTTCAGAGTACAGCGCGTGCTGAGGAGAGTGCTGCCATTATTGCTGTGGTACAGAAAATGATTGAAAATTATGAAATGCTCTTCATGGTACGTGAAGATTTTCTTTATTTGCCTTTAATGCAAGCTTCAGATATAGGTGTATATAGAGATTCTGAATGTTTATCACTGCAAAATGTGTAGCATTGCATGTTATGTGCCGTGAAGTCTTATGGTGATCCTCTCAAGGTATGTACGATGTTCAAGGAGTTTGAACATTGCTATTCCCCACCCCTGGAAGTTCTTAAGGCTGAGCAGGGCTTTGAACCCAACTCTCCTGAGTCCTAGTCCAACAGTTTATCCATGACACTCCATGGGCTACCAGATCTATATAATTTTCTGTTACCTCTGTGTATTCATTATCTTTAATGATAAAACTGAGGTTGAAGCTGTCATACTTTAGACACATCACGTAAAGGCAAGATTCACTGGAAAAGACAATAATACTGAGAAAAGTTGAAGGCAGCAGGAAAAAAAGGAAGATCATGTATGAAATAGTTGACTCCCTAAAGTAAACCAGAGCCTTGAGTTTGGTGGGAGCTGAGCAGGGTTGTTGATGATAGGGCATTTTGGAGGTCACTCATTCATAGGGTCACCATAAGTCGAAAGCAACTTGACAGCCCATAAAAACATACATTATCTTGTTATTTTCAAAACATTGCTTTAAAAGAATATGATCACTATAATGTGAATATTTACAAGAACCTCTCATAGCAAAGCAAGAAAGGTATATGGCATTCAAAAATGTCATACAATAGACTTTTCACTTACTGATAATCTGAGCCCTTTATTGCAGTGCAATTATTTCATCCTGTGGGAGCATAATTAGAAGTAAAATGGCCCCAGAAGAATAAGAAATGTCTTACCTCTGAACCAGAAATGAGCATGCAAATGTGCATGTTGATGTATATTCTTTCAAAGCCATTAAAGACTTGCCATGACAAGTATAATAGTATTCACAATGAGTAGAAAATTTTACATGATACAGCTTGGAAACCCTATTACTGCAAAGTTTCAGATGAGTCATAATCAATACAAGAAAGTAGAAGAGCAACTTCTACTTTCATTCATTATGAATAAAATTATTCATAAAACAACTAAAACCATTCATGATTTTAATTGTTTTATGAATAATTGTATTGTGAGCCTCTCTGAGTAAACATAGTCTAGAAGGGCGGGATAAAAATCTAATACATACATACATACATACATACATACATACGTACGTACGTACGTACGTACGTACGTACATAATTTGGGAATTGTTCAATAAGAAGTTAATACAACACTTCAAGCTGTCAGATTTTTGTCTGGCAAAATTGCCACCCAAACAGTCCAGAGTATGCATTTTACTGAGCACCATTTCCCCAGTATTTTATACTGGACAATAAACCTCCGAGCAGCAGTACTTGCTGTTGTGATTGCAGGATGGAATGTGTGAGTTTCAAGAGCACCTTGTTAATATTTTCTGTAACGTGATTCCGTCGTTGTAATCCTCACAGTTGTCAGTGAACAAACCAATATATTAAAGAACTGAATTTCTTTTAAATGAAACCTTCCACTATCTGAAGTTCACAGAGCTGAAAACTGGTATTTAGACTTAGAAGTTACTGATTTTTCAGAGATTGTCATGACAGCAGAGTTTGGGAGTTTGCTTCCTCACTGTGCCTCCTGGGAGAATAGCCAGCCTGTGTAACACCTCCTGAAGAAAAAAGTGATAAACAATGTCTGTATAATGTATTCTCGAAGGCTTTCACAGCCAGGATCTGATGGTTGCTGTGGGTTTTTCGGCCTCTTTGGACTTGTTCTGAAGGTTGTTCTTCCTAATGTACCTCCTGAAGAAAAAAGTGATAAGCGATGTCTGCATAATGTATTCTTGAAAGCTTTCACGGCCAGGATCTGATGGTTGTTGTGGGTTTTTCGGGCTCTTTGGACGTGTTCTGAAGATTGTTCTTCCTAATGTTTCGCCAGTCTCTGTGGCCGGCATCTTGAGAGATAGATGTCTGTGTATTTTGTACCTAGGATATGCTGGATACGGTTGCCGTAAGTCAGAATCGACTTGATGGCATGCAATTGTTGTTGCTGCTGTTGTTATTGATATTTTACTGATAGAGGGAGAGTATATGTAACTATGGGATTCAAGGAGGAGTGGTCAACACCTGTTGAATTGCACTCTCATCAGCGCTAGCCAGTATAGGTAGTGGTGAGGATGATGGAAGTGGTGAGGATGATGGACTGGCATCTAGAGAGCCACAGGTTGCCCACTCCTGGGTACATAATGCCTCATCTGTGTAGAGAACACTTCAAATAGACTTATTCTATAATTTGTGTATTTTTTTTTACCTTTATTTGCATTGTATGTTTAAAGTGAGAAGTATGGAATTACTTTGCCTTTTTCTTGGAGCTGTTTTGCTGGTTAATATCTTGTAGCTCTGAAGCTCCAGTTAAGTGGCTTGCTGGATGCAAGGGAGCAATATAGCATTTCAGATGACGTATTTATAATTAGAGAGGGTTGTGAATGTGTGTCAGTTTGACATCAGATATGTACAGTGGAAAAGCATCTCTGGAGAGACTCTTCCTGTTCCTGCCAATGTTTTGCTGGCTGGGTTGCTTTAGTGGAACCTGCATCCCAAGTTAGTTCTCACTGTTGGGAGCCTATTTGTGCTCATTTCTTTATTTGCAAAAAAAGAACTCCGTAAGATGGTGGTGTCATTTTGCTGGTTGTCTAGGAGAACGGCATGACCTGTAATTCTCTGAAATTCACACTATATATTGCTGCAATGGCAGTTGAATAGAAATAGGCTTGCTGTTATTATTATTTTTGGGGGGGAGGGTAACAAATACTTAAAAAGTTCCTCATCATGTAGCAGTCAGTTGTTTTCAGTCTTTAAAATGTGAGAAGAAGCCAGGGATGTGTTTAGAGTTAAGGCTTTGACCTATGCACCAGTTTCAAATAAAGAAATATTTGAACTAGAGCATGGATTGTCAGTGCGCAACTTAAATGTGGCATTGCCAAGTTTTCTCTCACCCTTCCAGCTGTGAAGAAACCAGAGCAGGATCTGCAAAATAAAATCCAGTAGAACAGAATGTGATATTTGGCCTACTGCATGAGTTTATCGTCAGGTCACGATGATTTTGCTTGTCAGGAGTAATAGATAATATTATGAAAGATTGTTTGCATTCTTTAAAATGGACTAGCACCAACAATCTGCTAGTGATTTTAGCACAATAGTAAATATTAGAATCTATTTCACTTTTTAAGATTGTTTTTAAGAAAGATGCAGCAAAACAATATGGGGAATACTTACGCTCCATAAATAGTTTCTAAGATACTGTATACTGTATCTAGGTTGATCTTATTAAAATTATATCATAGAGGTTATGTTTAAATTTTCTGTCAGGATGGGCACAGTTCTGTGTACAGGGTGGTACAGTTGTGTGAACAGAAATGTTTCATTGATTAATGCTGAACAACAAAAGCTGTTTTTCATGTCTGTTGAAAATATGCATGGAAATGTGCTTGAGAAAACAGCAAAACCTGTTTGGAGGAAAGGAAAAGAAAACCATTACAAGAACTTTGTCTAGAAAGTAAAAAGGATAAGAGACGCTCTGCTTGGCTAAATAACTGAGGGAGATAGAATTGAGGAGAAAAGAAGTGAAATTAGCTCTGAGATGACTGGTCCAGAAGAGTCGGATGGATCAGTACAAAAAAGAAAGTCAAGGGCAGCCCCTGTGAATCTCTAGTCCTTGGTGCAAGGATTGCTATCATAAATTTTCTCCAGGTTGGGTAAGATTATGAAGATTTTCATTTGTTTTATTTTTATTTGCATTTGTGCACTTTTTAATGAAAAATTCTGCACATAAATGCTTTTTGTGCCAAACGCTCTATTGTGTTTTATGTAAGAAAAGTCATGTGCTTTGTGTAGAAAACCTTGTGCATTTGCACAAAATGCAAGGTTTTTATGCAAAATAATAAATTGTATAAAACTAGGGGAAGGTACTAATACTGTTGCTGATAGGAAAAGGTGCTGGTCTTTTCATTCCTTCATGCAGCACCAAAAAATTGGTGGTCACCTAGATTCTTCAGAGAAGTCCACAAGCTGGACGTAAGCATAATACCTTCTTTCCCATGTTCCTTAGAAACTGGTATGGGAAGGCATATTGCTGCTGTGCTATGTTTTTTTCTATATACAGTAAATGTGTGGTAGATGTACAGTATAGGCTGTTACAGTGCTTTCTGGTGCCCTTACTACATTTCTCAGATATTGTATCTAGACCACTAAAAATGAAAAGCATGAAATATGCGTGTCACAGTAAGCCAGTATAGAGGTATGTGTTGCCTGGACTCTGTACCATGACTCAGTAAGATACAACTTGGTGTTAAATGGTGTGCAGTTCTCTCTCCCTCCCTCCTTCCTTCTCTCCCTCTCTCTCTCTCTCTCATTCAGAATTTTAAAAAAAATCATTCAGATAATAAAAAGTATTTCTAATGTTAGGACCACAAGCTGCAAGTGAAATCAGAAGGATCTATCATAGCATAAAATAGCTTAAGCAGATGAGTGTATAAATTCTTGGAAAAGCCAGCATTATGTTCCCTTCTTTTTTTAAAAGAATAGGAACAATGTCTAAACGATCCACCATCAGTCTCTCTACTTCAAAGGGTAGAAGTAGACATGTGTTTCTTCAAACAATATTCTAGAGTAGACAGTTTATGTTTTTTATATATATATTCATTTGATACTTTCTCCACCCTGGTCCCCAATTTTCCAGAACTGTTCAGATAACAGAGGAAAGATAAATTAATACAACAAGCTCTACTCCCAGAGAGAAATATGAATGTCAGGTCTCTACTGGTTGTTACATACTCATTAAACAGTCAAGAGTTGTATATGTGAAAATCTGTTTTTCATAATAAATAATATATAAAATATGGAACAAATGATATATTAGGTAGGAGACATATGCTCTATCATATTTTTATAATGAGGATGACTGATAGCATTTTAGACAAGTGTGAGGAAGAAATGGCTTTCCAGACCCCTACCATCCATCACTCTCTTTTCCCCTTACATATGCTGAGAGTTGCAGTCCATGATCATCCTGTGGATGCTCCTCATCCTGTTTTAGTCTAAATGAAATATCCAGCCATATTGGTTGATATTAAATAGGGAAAGCTTGCACAGTCTGGGAAAGGATTCTCACCACAAACTACTTCCACTATTCCGTGGCAAGTGTGTGTACCTAGTTGCAGGAAAAGAAAGTAAGAATATGAAGCAAGGAAGGCAAGGGAAGAGCCTACCATTGATAAATCATATTACTCATAGCAAACTATTCTTAAGTGTTCATTCTGTGCCTCTGGCTGGTTAGAATCACAGATCTGCTGTTCTTTGGTATTTTATTCTTCTTTTAATAATAATTAGCCTTTGACTAAATAGTAGAGTGGTTTGTGATTCTGCACTGACACCTTTGATGCTTCATTCATGCCTAGGTCCCTCCTGACCTTCAAAATGAAGTTCTTATTAGTCTGCTTGAGACTGACCCTGATGTTGTAGATTATTTGCTGAGAAGGAAAGCTTCCCAGTCATCGTGAGTAATTCAATTTTGTTTTGTTTTTTAGGTTCCACTTTTAAAACTCTGTTCCATTCAAGGAAGACCATTGTTCTATGAATAGTTATGGTGTCAAATCCCCAATCTGTTTTATAACAGATGTGCCTGGTGTCAGCCTAAGAGCCTTCAGAATCACAAAATGTCTTTTTCATTTTATTTTTCACAGCATTACCCATACAGTTACACAGTAGAGAAGGTGTTACAGTAATTTAATTTTACTAGTTAAGCATCATTAGCAATATGTGTTTTTATGAAAAATGGGAAATGTTTCTGTAGTCTAGTTGGCTCTATATACATTGCTATTAAAGGGAGTTTGGTGTTCTGTATCACATAATGATTATCCAGCTGTTCCTGAAGGAGATGAAAGCTGTAGGGAATTCATATGTCCTTCCTACTCAGTTCACAGTTGAGCAGAGCAGAGAGAAGTGGTAACCCATCACATTGGAATAAACATGTATAAAGAGTCTAGCCAAAAGAATGTTAAGCACATACTGTATAGATCTGGCCATGAACCACTGGTGGTTCATGCCATTTTGTTTATCAGCCAAACACATGTTCAGTGGTTCCCAGCCCCGCCTCCTCTAGTGGGCACCCACTCAGAGACAGTGCCCCAACTTCCATGCCCTGCCTTGACTCCTCCAGGCACTGCCAAGCATCTGTTCGGCTAGTAAATGAACTGGCACAAACTGCTGAACCACTGGTTCGTTCATATATATATCATATATATAAAGCTCTAGATCAAATCCATTATGCTTGTTTCTAATGAGCTCCAGTGCAGCAGATGTTAACGTGTCAAGTATCTTAAGAACCCTTAAATGTTTCTTAGGGTTCAGTTTTGCAGCAGTTTATACAGGCACTTACATCACTTGTAACATGCTGCTGACTTTCCTGAGAATGTGCTTTTCATCAATGCTGTTGGAAAAACATGTCCTTGGATATCCTTCTTCCCTCAGCCCTCTTGCTGCCTCTGAGGCAGCACACCCCTTTCATCTAATGGAGCAGACATAGAATTGCTGTACTCTCTAACAGAAGGCATTAGTAACTCTGCTACCTATTACAATAATGGTGAATTGTCATTTACATTGCTAGTAAAAGTTGCTGTTTTGCATGTCACCTGAATAATAACAAATCAAACCAAAATCACTTATTTGTATGTTTGATGCTAGCATGTTTCCAGCTGTACACACGAAGTCATGGGAAAGAATTTGGCCGGAAGATTAGAAGGGCATTTGTTCAGCATGTAAGAAATGTGATGGCCAATTGTATTTCAGTTTGGAGAGATGGCTAAACTTTAAATGATGTTTCCCCCCCTTTTCCCGATGAGAAGTTGGAACCAGAAATTAAGTGAGATAAGCTTGTAGTTATCTGCAGAACAAACTAACAAAAGTTAGAGCCACACATCCCTTGGGATTATTCTGGCTACAGTTGATTGTGGATTATAAATATGGACCATTAACGGAAAATTTTGAAACTCTGCGATAATGAGAACATGTCCTACAGTTGAAGGAATTGGTTCCATGGCAAAATGTGTGAGAACTTCTTGAACACTTCCTTCTCATGATGAGTGTCCTGAGACTACTACTTCTAAAATGTGCACAGTGACTGCCTTTTGCCCTTTTGTTTTGATGCCATACAAATGCTCTCTTGCCTCCTCTTGTAGCTAACAACTTCACAACCTCTCTTTCCCTCTTCACTGGAATACAAAACAAGGCTTGCTTGATTTAGTACAACTCTGTCAAGATGAAAATGTACAGCAGTACTCAGCACTAATATAACATTGCTTGCTACTTTCGCTACTGTGATGACCATCTATATCTGGATTCTCCCTATCTCTTTTCACTGTGCCTGGACTTGCAGGGATGAAAATTTGAATCTCCAGCAGAAAACATAAAACTGAGCTATCATTTAAATCTAAAAACTAGAGGTCTTTCTTTCTTGTTAGGTCCTGTATAAAACAGGCAATGGTCACTTTAAGTTCTATTAGGGAATTTCTTTTGAAAAGAAATGAGAATGTTTCAAAGCTTCTTCAAGGTAAGGTACATATATAATTTGCAGTCTTAGTTGTGCAGTACTGTGTCTTCATAAAGTCTTCATTTCTATCCTTGTTACTGTTAGCATTTCTATTCTTGTCTTGCTCCATTTATTTTATTCCTTTTTTTAAACCCACTGAAAAAGAATAATCTCATGGTAGAGAAAACAATCTGTGTAACACAAGAAATTCTGCTTTCCATTATAATTTCTCTCAATATACTCTGAATTTTTATTGCAACATTTAGAGAGTTGTATTTATTGTCTTGGATATATTGTGCCAGTGTTGTTTTATTTATGTTCTGTGGAAAACAATCCCATTATTGTTTGCTATAAAAACCTTCCCTTTCAGCATATGTGACTTTATCCTGCTTATGTGTTGTTGACGTGTGATGTGTATGTGGAGTAAACTTTATTAATTCGTGTTTGTGTGTCACATTTTATTAGAAGCCCTGAGATGCTCCAATCAGAAGGCACTTACACCATGGAAGGCAGACATTCTTCTACAGATTCAAATAGAGCCTCAAGTGGTGACATCTCACCTTATGACAACAACTCCCCAGTGCTTTCTGAACGGTCTCTTATGGCAATGCAAGACGATAAGTCCCTCAGTCCTGAGAAGTTATTTAAAGTACCAGAACAGTGCACATCGGTCAGCAATTTCCAGCAGAAATCAAGAGAAAATTCCCTGGGATTGTGGCTTGAGAAGGGTATGGTCAACGCATAGGCTGGGTGAAAGTTCACAGATTTAGTAGCATTCCTCCTAATGTGCAGGCATTATCTTTTAAAAAGGGAATATAATGTCATCAAGACCATGACAAAGTCCCGTTGCATTCTCAAATCATTCTCATGGATGTGAGCTTTAATTTAATTTGCCTTTATCTATCTCATGTTCAGATGTATAACCTTTCCAGAATGTCCACCACATTACTTGAACTTCATGAAAAGAAAAAAGGAGGGCTTGGTATTAAACATTTAGGCCTAAAACCAATGTGATAATAGTGGAGAAAAATGTTGTGCTAGTTCTGGATTTTTCCAGCTGTGCAAGCAATAATGACTTAGGCATGCAATTGCTTCCTAGGCTGGATTCCTCCCTTACACTTCATCTAAAACTAGATGTCCATAAGCAGAGCATCCACTGACTCAGATAACTACTTTTTCAAATTTTGAGATAATCTCTACCAGTGACTCATTATTGATGTCAGACAGCATGGGAGTGAACATGGAGCTTTACAGAAGGCACAACATAAATGCCACAAGACAAATATCTTATTTTCAAAATTTCTGATTTGTCCAGGGAGCAGGGACAGTGGCTAGCAAGTTGGCTTTGTCCTCGACTAAACTAGAGCTTGACCAACAGTCCAGAACTCCGCCAGCATCCATCTGGTAAAAAGTATTGGACTTGTATCTTTGAACACAAGCTCTTTCTGATTCTAAATATCAGTGTATCTATTGATAGAGTTAACATGAAAGATCTTCACAGAGCTGCCAGTATAGTTGTGTTGCCTCTCTGAATAAGTTCAGAAACTTTTGACTGGTAAGGACATTCATGGAATTATGCAGGTGCTTTTGCCTTAAGTCTTGCTTTGCTTTGGAATTCTTGAAAAACATTATTCCTCTATTACTGTTCAGGGACGTTTGAACCAGAATCCAGAAAGCTGCGAAACAGGGTCTGTGAGCCTCTTGTGTGTTACCTGAAAAGAAATCCCCTTTTTTGGCCTGGCATGCTGCTTTTTAAAACATGGCTTTTAAAAGCATATTGAGATCTAGAGGGATCTGCTGTTTAAAGGAAGCATAGAAGTGAAATTTATTTGATTATATGAAGCAAACCCAGCATTTGGAACCTGGCCATTCTGTACCCCCCACCTCCAAATAATTCTTACAGAATAATGCATATCTTATGTTTCTCCTTATCCTTTAGACACTTCAGAAGACTATTTTGACATCTGGGGAACCTGGCATTCAACTCTGAAAAGTGGTTCCAAAGATATAGGAATGTCAGGTATCGATCTTGTTGCTTTACTTGTGTTTCATAATCTGTTTACATTAAACTGCTACATTACTATAGTCTGCCAGCAGATGGCACTCGCTAAATTCACAAGATCATCATGAGTCTAGTTTTCCTGTGCGGTATGTCAGTGGTGAGGAGTTGAATGTACCCTTTGCAGATGATTTTTTAAAAAGTGTTGATTTGGTGTCCTAGCAGGCTGCCACAGACTTATACCATGAGAGAGGCCACAGCATGGAAACACAGATCTCTCCATTGTTAAGAGACTGGTCAGCCCGATGAGGTGCTTTTGACTCTTTGATTAGGCAAGGGGCGGGAATAGCTTTTGTCGGACCATTAAGCTGATTTTAATGGCAGGCAAGAGAGAACACAAAAGAGGATTCCTGGCTCTTCTTGGAAGGGGTTTGTAATCCAAATATCAACAACAACAAAAGCCTCATTGGCTTCACGATGGCATGGATTTATATCCATCCGTGTCCAGTAGAGGAAAAGCAAGGGTAAGAAAAAGCAAAACGGACCCATTTTAAATGAGGTGAGGGTAGGATCACGAGCTACTATATTCTGCATTCAGTTGCTGCCCCTCTCAAATATTGCCTTTCTGAGGTTCTTCACCTTCCTCCATTCTTAATCTGAAAGTTGTCTTTGCTATCTAGCTGTCTCCATCTGCTCCTCCTCTTGTATTCCTGAAGAAAATACTACATAATTAAATGGTCTTTCACCCTGTTCCATTCTGGATGAAGTATTTACCTTCTTAGGCAGGGAAAGTGTTGACTCAGAGAAGAGTTGCTCTCTTGGCAGCTTGGAACAACCATTTACTTTATTAGGACCCCATGAATCTGGTCAACATCAGACATATGGGTAGGAACAGCAAACAGTTCCAAAGAGCCTCAGTAACTACAGATTAACTCTCTGGTTGCAATCAAGCTACTATTTCTTGCTCTTAGCCTCATCTGTAACATAGGATACAAAGGGCTGTTACAAAGGTTATTGATGAATGAGAGGTGGGCTCAGATATGATGCCAAATTATACATTGATGCTGATTTACCAAAACTCATCTGTTCTGCTGCTCTCCTCACAAAATCTGATTCTCCCCCCCACTTCCAGTTGATGACAAAATATAGTTTGCCATTATATTCAAACCAAAACTATCGATTACAAAAAAAACATGGTTTGTCTGCAAACAAGAATTGAAACAGATTTTGCACTGCTGGTTTGTGGACAGACAATGGTTTGTTCAATATATAGTTTGTTTGGCTCAGCTATAATAGCAGGCTGTGGTTCAAATATGTTGGCAAACAATTTGCAGCTCAATTAGAATGAAGAGTAAAAGTCAGAGATTATGAGAACAGTGGAGGGAAAGTGTGCAAGTGGAGAGCTCACTCATAGAGCTCTACACCATTTGGAGTTACTTTTGAACTAATTAACATAATGCTGTTTTAAATCATGAGGTGAAGATGTGTTTAACAACTATTGTTACTCTTTTATAAAATACAAGTATTATGAATTAATTCCTCCCCGCTTAGCTTTTCAAGAGCAGTTTATTTTCCAGTATCTGGTTTGTCATCTTGGAGGTTCTTTTCAGCAATTACAACTGATAGCTTTTGATTGACAGATTTACAAAGGGCAACTCCAGAGAGACTGGGGATTTCTCCAATCAAATTGTCAGGGCCATCCAAACAATAGCACATGCCCTGGCTATGTTCAGCTTTCTGATAAACAATTTCTTTAGATGACCCTGAGTTTGGGAATTATAAGAGAGAGGAATTTCTTCCCACCTGTACTCTTCAGACCAAGTATCCCTTAATTTTAGAGTGTCTTTACAGTATTTTGTTTTCTGATATTTCAAACAGAAGTAGAGGGTGTTCCCCTTAGAAAGCTAAATCACTCTTCCCCACCTTGTGACAGGCCAAGATGTCTGGAGACTGGTGGAGTCTGACCTAGATAATCAGAATATTTGGAATGCTGTGTAAGGATTCCAAATGCTGGGTAAGCATTCCAAGTCAAGGCACACCATTTCTGTGTATTTTCAGGGCTGACCCTGAGCACAGTAAAAAAATAAAAAAATAAAAAAACAAAGTCACCTGAGGACACAGATTTGGGGTGCTGTGGAAGAAGCAGAAAATCATTATTTAATTACTTTGCTATTGTATTTTTACTGACAAGAGGGGGGTGATTCTGGGATTTTCTGTTTCATGGGTCAGAATAATTTAGCTTTAGACCCTGCGGATACTTAATGTCAGTAGAGATTTCCATTGCTACTCTGCCTCAAGCAGCAGAATGGCATTGACCAGCCATGGGTATTTTGTTCTAGAGTAACGTGCACAGAATCATAGTGGCAAATAAACTGCTCGACACAAGCAGCAGAGAGATCTTGACATCTGAGTGCCTGTATTTTGCTGCAGTTAAAACAGACATGCAGGACTCATGATTGCTTCTCATTTTGTGTGGTCCTGTAGGATCCCATGGAGACCTCTGTGAGAGCAGCTTGCTGCGGACAGGACTGTGCTCTCTTTCCCAAGGAAACCTGTCCCTGCCTTCTCCGCAGTGGCTGGGAAACCGTAGAGAAGTAGACAATGGAAAGCAACTCATTCGAAGGAGTCAGACTACAGCTGCCCTTCCGGAATGCCGGTCTCATCCCCCACTTTCTCGGGTCTGCAGCACCCCACAAATGGAAGTGGGAAGAAGGAATTCCAACCAGACTAACTCGGAGCAGTCTTTGCCTGTGAGAAACACAGAGCCTCTTGTGGAGCATGACTCGGACCCCGCTGGTTTGCACAGCGCAGGAAAATCATTGAGGCAGGCCGAAATGCTTCGAAAAGACCGGCCGCCACCCCCTTATCCGGACAAAGCCAAGCCAAGTTCCATCTCCTCTTTCCAGCCCACGGTCTCATCAGCAGAACATCCACTGTGGAGGCTGCGGAGGCCAGAATCCCGACCTGGGGTTGTAGGTGCAAGAGTAATGACTCAAGTGCCTGAACAGTCTGCCCTGGGTGAGGAGCAGCCGGAAGAATCAGAAAAGAAGGGCTCCCTTCCAGACAGCAGGCAGAACAGTAAACATTTGTCTGAGCCAGACTGGTATGACTGGCAAAGGGATCGGTGGCAAATCTGGGAGATTTTATCACCTGACAATCCAGATTCTCTCCCAGAAACATTAGTATGAGTGGAGATCCCAGCAGTGGCCAGGCTGTTCTCGACAGGGCAAGGAATGGTCATGGCGGACTGGATTCCAGATTTGTTTTATACTAAGCAAGTGTCTTTTTTAAAAAACTATGACAGCAACAACAACTATGTTCACTTTATAAAGAATTTTAATAGCACTGTAAAACGTATGAATATCTTTTTCTGGTTTTGTAATCATTATAAGAAGGGAAAACGAGATGACAACTCCCATTCCTAAACACTCTGTAAAATATAAGCTGCGTGTACGGTAAAAACTACAGGCTTGATGTTGCTAAGATGTATTTATGTATCTGCCATTCAGATGATTGTATATTATGCAAAAAGTTCTCCTTTTTTTGTACTATGTATCGTGTTCAAAGGCAGGAGGCAAACAACCTTGACTGCTTTGTGCAAGGGGGGGGGGGAGAAATATTTTATTCATTGCACTTAGTACTTACTATCAAGAGATGCTTTGAAGCTCTCTTGAAAGTGCACAAGCTGGTTTCTGTGCTTTTTAAATAACCTTTTTGTGGGAGACATATATTTTCACTGACTACAAAAAACACTAATGTGGAATGGAAACATTAAAAGCCATATATTTTATAGTGGGTAATTTAGAGGGGGAATTGTCTACCTTGTTATTTGCTTGCAGGAAAAAAATTAAAATTTGATGCAATATGGTAAAATAGATATATATTTAAAACTCTGTTAGAAAACAATTTCAGTTAATCTTTCAGCAGCAGGGCTGTGCATCAGTCATATAGAAAACCCAAAGATATTTCTGCCCATTTTAGACCCATTGCAATTTTATATACAATGCATAATATATATTTACAAATCATAACTTAAAAGCCAACTGGAACCCAAATGGTTGACTAAAATAAATAATTCCCTTTCTTTTTTTAAAAATACAACACAGGTTTCAGTATTAAGGCCCTGTCATAGATTAAATGACTAGTATTTGTAGGATTCCACATACAGATTCCAGACTCAATGCAATTGTTTTAGATCCAAATCATGTCAAAAATTTTATGTTGTATTTGTTCATTGTTGGTGTTCTGCGCAAGTCCTTGATAAACTGCAAAAATGTGTGGAGCCAGAAGGTGGCAATATATTGCCATTTTATGGCTTTCTTTCCCCAGTTAAAAAGGAAAAGCTCTGCTTCTAATGTTCTTATAAATACACTTGCCTTAATTTTAGTGAAGTTAAAGACTTATCCAGTGATGTCTTTAAGTTATATCTTGTGACACAAAGATGGAATAAAATCTACCAGAAAAGAATTTGTGTTCATGTATTGATTAGTGTTGAAAAAGGCCATGAGCCTACAAGTGAAGCTAACAGGCTGCCAGATAGATCAGGGGGCCAGAGGGGAAGTTGCACATGCAGGCGGCAGCTGGAGAGGGACGCCATGTATACATGTTTTCTGTGCTCATGATAGAAGCCTTTGAAATAAATTGGAAGAATTAGACTGCTTGATTTTAACAGAGACCATGTGTACCAAGAGGATAATAGAAGCTTAGAGGAATGGAAGGAACCAACAGGATATGGTCATTTCTGGTTTGAAACTCAACAAGAAAGGCATAATCTCACTTTAAATGTCAAAGATGGCACAGTCTCCGACAAACCAAAATGATTACAAGAGGTAGTCTCATCTTAACCATTGCTCTGGGTTAGCTGACAGGGCCTCAAATGTGATTTAGTACTAGGGACATGTTATCGTTACCCCTTCATGGATTGCTGCCTTGTCGTGGCAAAGGGGCTTGAGTAATTCAGAGAAGCTATGGGCTATGCCATGCAGGGACACCCAAGATGGACAGGTCATAGTGGAGAGTTCTGACTAAACGCGATCCACCTGGAGCAGGATTTGGCAAGCCACTCCAGTATCTTTGCCAAGAACACTCCATGGACAGAAACAAAAGGGTAAAAGATATGACCCTGGAAGATGAGCCCCTCAAGTCAGAATATGTCCAACATGGTACTGAGGAAGAGTGGAGGACAAGGACAAGTAGCTCCAGAGCTAATGAAGTGGTTGGGCCAAAGCCGAAAGGACACTCAGCTGCGGACATGCCTGGAAGTGAAAGGAAAGTCCAATGCTGTAAAGAAAAATACTGCATAGGAACCTGGATCTATGAATCTTGGTAAGCTGGATGTGGTCAAACAGGAGATGGCAAGAATAAACATTGACATCCTGGGCATCAGTGAACTAAAATGGACAGAATTGGGTGAATTCAATTCAGACAATTATCTACTATTGTGGGCAAGAATCCTGTAGAAGAAATGGAGTAGCCCTCATAG